ACGCTTACTCTACGATTCTATCTTTTTCTTTTTTTTTTTCAAGAAGTTAACTTGATGACCATCATCGACGAATAAATGTCGTTTACCATTTAAGATTACATCATATCCTCTTCTAACTGCTTCTTTTCCCATTTTACCTCGTCAACGATTCGATCTTCCTCGGAGGAATTCAATGTCGCAGAGGAGGCGATTCCCACTGGCCAGACGATGTCGTCTTGATTGTTCGAAAAGTTGGCGCGTGTCCGGCGTGGACGAGCATTATTCGATCTTAACGGGCTAACTTTCTGCACCTGATCAACAGTGTAAGCGACAAGTTCGCCATTGGTTATGCACGGGGGATGCGCAGTTAGCTAGCGTGACTGTGGCCAATCGATATTCATGGTTAGGATAGGAGAAAGGTTCTTCCCCGCGTATTAGGCTGTTTGTTTGTTCAACGATTCGTTTACAATCGGATGTAACGTAGCTACGTTCTTGTTAAGGTTTGCAATGCCGCAACAACAAGCCGCACAGCCCGGGTTACGGATTAGTTGGATCATGTTTCTGGCTACGACTGCTAATTTGTATCAACCCCCCCCACTACGAATACATCGATGTTGCGGTTCCCAAGTTCCATTCTTGTAAATAGTTTTGTACATGCTTCGGCCCAGAGTTGAGGAGAAGAGAAAGAAGCGCAATTATCGCGAAACTAACTGGATCGATTGTAGAAATATCAACTTTGGGACAAAGTTGATAAATTGATGTAAATTGGAAAGAGAAATTGTCGGATTTAATCGATTAGTTTCGATAGATTTGTTACGATCGTAAAAATAGGGATATGTTCGAAATTTTTTTTTAAATTTTCAATCGAGGAATGAATCAAGTCAATATTGAACCAGTGAAGTGGTTAGTTGATTGATTATTGGTAATTGAAAATTGGAAGAATATGAAGATTTTTGAAGTATGTCGTTTTCAGAGAATGCGATGACTTACACTGATTGGCTTCTAAACTATTAATATTATACGTTATTTCATCGATCGATTTTTGCAATAATATTTAATATATATTCGTAATTTTCGTAATTTGATATAATTTGATATAAATAAACAATAAATGTGTTATTTTCGATAACAATAATTATATAATTTCTCTATTAATTTTTTTATTTTAATATAAATTGATAAAAAAGAATTTTGTCCATATACAACTTTTCCAATAATCTTCTTCTATAAAAATTTGATTCTGAAAAGATTAATTTGATTCTGATAGGATTTTATCAGTCTCGAAGTTTGAAAAAGAATTTCTTTTTCTCCAATGTATCTTTTATTTTACAAGTTTGTATCATAAACTGTTTCGATTATAAATATTATTGTTATATTTCATGTTAGACTGACATATCGCAGCATTTCGTAATTTTGAAATTAATCGAATTACACGAAATCAATTATTGAAAATGCGTGTAATTATAACAGATAATTTTCTATATATTGACATAGATTTTACAAAAAATCAATAAATAAATCATTAAGCCAATTTTAAGTAATTATTAGTCATCGATATATCGTGCCAATGTAAATCTCTTTCAATTTTCATTACGTTGTTTTTGATATAAAACTATCTCAATTTAAAGAGAGCATGAAATATCGTTGTTATCGCGTCTTGTAATTTAAACAAACACGAAAGTACTATACACACATATTTCTACGATACGATTTCATCTTATCGTAAATGACAAGATGTCAATGCAACTACTTTGAAAAATCTCGATTAGTTACATCCTGAAGAATGAAATCGATTTTCGAAATTTCAAAATTTCTGATAACTTACATTTCAAATATGACATCTTATATTGTGGAACATCAACGTTATTTGAACAGATGAAGAGATGAAGTTAAATATTTAAATATTAGAATTTTAATATAAAATATAGCTGAATATAATAATAAAAAAAATGGAGTTCAATATGTGGAATTCAGTCTAACATGTTATACACGAGACAAAAAGATTTTCAAATTAATCATAGTACAATAAATAAGTCAAAATATAATATAATAACAATTATATATTTGTATGCTATTGATATTTTTATACATCATAAACTTATTTATTGAATTATAAACAATTTATAAAGAAGTTTGCGTTGAATGAAGCAAGACAGAGACAGAACTAGATGACTGTGTGACAAAGTAATCTCATTTTATCTAGGTCTCATTTTATCAACGCAATTCAATATTTATTTATTTATTCTAGAATTACAACATTCAAAAGTATTGCACGAATTAATATCTTCATATAATTAAAATATATATTTTAAATTTCATTAAATAAAGAAAAATACTTATAGAAACAATAACAGTGAAGATTGTAACGCGACAGAAAAAGAAGAGTTTTTAAAAATATCAAAAAAGATAAAGATATAAAAGAGAGAAAAAGAATATTCAGAGAAGAGGAAAAAACAGACGTATAGAATAAGTTGGAGTTAGCGGAAAGAGGTCATAAAAAAGAAAAAAATGAAGAGATTTACCTGGGTCTGGTTAACTAACGACCAGATCTAAGTGGAACTTTGCAGACAAAATATAAATAAAACTAGAGAAATAATAAAACAAAATAGGAAGGAAGAAATAGAAATTTGGAAAGAAGCTTAGAAGCATGAAGAATTATGGCACAGGCCTGGTGGCAGTTTAATTAATAAAAGTTATTTTATATAATAAAATATGATATACTCAAATTTAATAAAAAAGATATTTATGATATTGTTAATAAAAATAGAAAACATAATTTAAATCAAAAGAATATAAATCCAGATATTTATATACAAAAAATTATATATATATATATATATATGTACTTATGTAAGATTTTAAAATAAATTGAATATATAAATATATTACGCAATGAAATAAAAATAACTTTTTCAAAGTTTTATCTGAAATAATAAAATATTTTTATCATACATTTGGCATTCCTTATCCTATGAGAAATTAAATAATATTTAATAATTAATATATTATTTGATGTAATATTTCTTTTTGTAATAAATTTTTATTTTAATTTATTCAAATCCAAGATTATCAAAGAAATATACAAGGTGAAACATCAAGGTTAAATATGCAAAATAAAACTAAAGATATTGTAAAAAATTTTTAAAAAATGATTTGTTAATGTATACATATATTCATTGCTAAGAATTTGTGAAAAAGACTTTAATGATATAAAATAATTAATTTTAATAATCTTTTATAACGCAATCTTAATTTTTAATTAACGATTTAGATTTTAGATCAAATTATTTTTTCTATACTATATTTAATTAGATTAACTTTATATATATATTTTTATTTAATGACACAATACATATATATTTTCATTTTAATATTCTTCAACTGATTATTAAATATTGATAAATATGTAATATATTTATTTTTATTTACTCATATCAATTTGGACAAGGAAAATAAATAATAGATAAAATAAATGAAAATACGTGTTAGGTAAATATTTGAATATTTACCGTTATTTTAATATAGATTCTACACGAACTCCATATCCATAAGTAATTATCACTAGTCAATCAAATTTTATGTAGAACACAAACAGAAATAGATATTTAAAATCACCTAAATATAAATAACTTATACATGATTCACAAAAACAGAAAATCCTCTATTATCTTCAAAAAGCAAATTTCCAAATCTTCCGAAGAAGAATCCATAATTTTCAAGCAAAAAAAAAAAAAAAAAAAATAACACTAAACTCCTGACTCAACTCATCTCTCCAACTCAATTCCCAATCAAATTCTCTCAAAACACTCTGATCGAATTCCACTCCACCGGCCTGAATTCTTTTCACAAAAGTTCAAATTTCCAATTTACAACACCCTAATCAGTTGATCCACTCTATACGCACACCTCACCTCTCCTCCTCTGCACCATCCCCTCGAATGGAAGCGTACATACAAACTCCTCCAAGTCTTTCTCCACCCCCTTGTTTCCTGTTCCGGCCGCGAAGACACGCGGCCGCGAGCCAACCGCGATGTAGAATTTAACGGGCTTAAAATTCAGGTTAGAACGTAAGTGAATTTCCCGGGAGACGGGGGATGTCAGCGCTGGGCGAAATATATGGAAATGACAAAGTTTTTCCGCGCGTCGCGGAGTGCCTTTATTTGAAAGGCAGATACGTGGCACTTGCATATATATATGTATGTATGTATAGGTGAAAGAATAATTTCGCGCATCGTCCCGGTGAGCTTTATTTCGTTGGATGTGTACGATGACGTACATATTGTATACATATACACACGCGTGTTTCAAATCATCCTTTTACGCAGTTGGTACTCCTGCCTTCATCTTGCGTCCTCGCGAACAGCGCGACGAATTTCTCGATACAGTTTCGTTAGTTGGAAATGTGTACAATGCGTTGGAACGTAACAGTTGCGTTGATCCCTTCCTTCTCGCCAACAAGATTTATAAGAATCGTTCAACAAAGGAAAAGATTACCATTTTGTGGAATATTTTGTGGAAGAATTGAATTACATTTGGGAGTTTCATACAGTAGACGAATTAATATGTATGTATTTTTAATTCGTTTATTTCTGGATCATCGTTTGAATATATTTAATTACGTTAAAATATTTAACGTTTAAGTTCTTATTTTATGTTCATAAGTGTATTGACACTATAAAAATTGCCAGAGAAAATTATATTCAGGTGATAAAATGAAAAATATCGAGAGATTTAATTTCGACAAAAAGATTTTTTATTGACAAAAAAATTGCACCATAACTCAATAAGTTTTATATAGACATAAACTATCATTAAAATCAGGATTTATTTAAGAATTATGTAAAAAAATAATACCAATTAATCCTTATAAAATAGCGTTTGAATACGAGATATTGTACACATTTTTACGAGAAAAATATTTTCAACTACGCGTCGTTTCTCTCTCTCAAGGTATTAAGTGTATGTTTACTAATTTTAAATAGATTATATTATCTCGTTTAGACAATGTTTGGCTTTACATCTTTGATAAATATCTTTTGCGCGTAAATGAAAATAATTTTCTTTGTTTTCGATGAGAGATAAAGAACACATCATACTACGTAATAAAAACGATAATTACCAGACACTGATGTTTCTATGTATGTAATTAATACGTTAATTGTTTTGAATTAGGTTGTAGAGATATATTTTAGAAAGATGACGAAACGACAACACAGTCAAACAACGTACAAGAATTTGTTTATTCATTCTTACTTCTTTGGTTTATTTCCACGTTTCTCTTTTCGTTATATTACCATTTTAAAATTTTACATTTTCATTTCTTACGTATTGCCGCTAATATTTAAAATACTTGGAAAATATTGAACTCGAGAAGGAAAGACAGTGTATAAAATACTTTAAAGAAAAACGATTTAAAGAAAAGAATATTATCAAGAAAAAGAATCAACGAACGAGCGTTAAAAATCAATCGTCGCCAAGCAGATCGTCCAAACAACCAAATTCTTTCAATCCCAGCAACATATTCGCCATAATTTCCGAGCATTCGTCGCCACCTTGTTCGCGCAACACCGGCCCCCAATCCTTTAAGTCCATTTTGAACAGTTTTTCCGGGCCACCGTCACTGTGACCCATCACTGTAGGCAAGAAAAACGTGGCGATGAAGAATCCAAACAGACCCTTCCTCTTGTAATCCTCGCGCAAAACCTCGTACGGATATTTCTCACAATCCACACCATTTTCCTCGAGGCAACGAGTCAGGGAATCGTGATACTCCCTTAAAACCTTTTCGAGCATGCTCTTGTCGATCTGCTTCGCACAATGAAGGCAGAGGAACGTGGACAAATCGAGAACAGGCGATCCGTACCTCGTCAACGCGAAATCGATGAACATACATTTAATTTCACCGTTCTTCTCCTTCTTGAACAACGTATTGTTCACGGTGAAGTCACCGTGGCAAAGCGTGGCGAGAGGCTCCTCGGGCTGGACGTACTTCATAATCAGATCGTCGTACGTGCTCCTCAATTTGTCCTCGAGCTTGTCACAGAATCCTCGATCGTAGCCCCTCTCTCGAAGATACCCCACCGATCTGCTCGCCGTCTCGTCGTACACCACTTTCAAGATCGAGCCGGGATAATACCTGACCTCTTGGAGATCGTTCACGAAATCGAAGAATTCTTCGCCTCGCTGCTCCTTCGCCGCGTACGCTTTCCCGTGGAACCTGGCGATCTCTCGAAACGCGGCCATCGTGTACTCCACAGGTATGTCGTGTTTCCATTTCGAGACATCGTATCCACGTTGGAGGATCACGTTCTCGAGAACGATCGCCGAATCGGAGGGCGGTTTGTCCTCGGCGAGCACGCATCGAGGAAATTCTTCGTGATGTTTCGCGTACCTCTGGTAGAACAGTATCTCGTTGTGGAATTGCTCGTTCGTTCTCATTACGTCTCGCACACTGGGCATAACGGGCGGTTTCTTCAGAACCACGTTCACCGTCCCCCTCTTGTCCGTGTCCTTGGCATTCGAGTTGATGTTGAGGAAGTAGAGGTTCGAGATGAAGAACGAGTTTTCTGGCACGGACACCTCGTAGCGCACGTCGTCGAAATCTTTGCCAAGATTCGCCACTATTCTGTTCACCAGGGGATCCAACAAGTTTCTCTCAGATTGCTCGCACATGATCACGCATCGCTCCCCGAGTTGCTGCTTTCGATCGTCGTTAGAGCGGACTGGCTGTGAACGCTGTTGCAAATGGTATTATAAGCTGCCTCACCGATAAAACTAAGTTCGCCGCGGGGAAAGGAGACAGACGAGAAACCGTCGATATGACAAATCACTGACATGGCCGACCTAAAGATCCATTCATAATGGAATATAAATTGAGTTGTTCAATTACGTTATTGAATTGCGGGATCGAGAATTGATCAAATTGTTCTCGATCAGTTAACTTTATTATTATTCATGTTCATTTGGATATTTAGTGATCAGAGAAAGGTATAGAGAGAGGATTTGATGTTAATCGATAACGTAATTAACGTATTGCTTGTAAACTAGAAATCGTACTCTTATTATTTTGAATAATTAATGAAACGTTATCGTGGTAATGTAGAAATGTTACCTAACGTTTTAAGTTTTTGTTCCACTGTTATTCTATTATTTGATGTTTGCAACTTGCTGCAACCGGTGTGTACGCACCTGAATATCACAATAGACGGATAAAAATCATGAATTGCTCAATTAACGTTAATTTCAGGAGGGATTATATAACGGAGGATAAATGTATACGTAGAGTTTTAAAGATATTTACAATAGCAGAATATCTAGTATTCTTGTATCACTTCTTTCTAATGTGTTACTACGCAATCGCTTGAGTCATCTTACAAGTAATTATTTGATGTTTAAATCCAAAGTTTTCCATCAGTCTTTCTAGTACATTTTATCATCGAGTTTTAAAATGATGTTCTTATCTCCTATCTCATTTCTCTTCCTTTTTAAATGATAGATATTAAACAAATATTATTAAATCAATTTTTTATTCAATTCGATAAGAGCTGTGAAAAATTGACAGCACTTTTCATTTAAAAATCTTCTGAAAATTCTCTCAAAAAGAAAATTAAATATATATATATAAATGAAGTTGATGTATTCATTTGTTTCAAAGAAAATATCGTTTTGCATGAATTATATATTTCAAGTACAAAATATAACAAGATAAATACACAATGATATATCAATTATAAATTAATAATAATATTATTTAAAAATAAAGAGAAAAAGATATTCATATCGATCTTTGAGAAGCATACAATTAATCGAGTAAAATTAATACGATTAAAAAGATGGAAATACCAGTTCTCCCTTATTAATTTTAATTTCGTTGAATAGAACACGTTAAAATCTATAAACTAATGTAAAGTTTCCTGCATCCATTTCCTTTATAATCACTATTAGAGAAAAGTACATCTACCTTCTCTTAACTCAACCAATCCCTAATTTCTAAGCAGAAGTAGCGTACTTCGATAACTTTCCCAACTTGCTTGCAAGTGGATGACATTCAAGACAGAATTCTCTCTTCCCCTAAAATTTCTCCAACGCTCGAGTCCAGGACAGAATTACGACATCCAACGACCAGTCACTCTCATTCAATTTTAAAACCGGTTTTCGATTTGCACAGAGCCTATTAATACGCGAATTTTCAACCTAAGAGCTACGATTTTACATTACGAATTATATACATTTCTGATGTAAAATAATCAGAATAATTATATAAAAAAAAAAAAAACTCTGCAATAAAGATTTTCAGCATTTATACTATTCGAGTATATCTATTTATTTATTTACGTGCTTAATATAACTATTTTCTAGAAAATTTGCAAATTTTTATTGTCTCGCTTTTTCCATTTCCATCAAACTTCATTAATTCAGCTCTAAAAATAAACTTTTCACACACACACACACACACATATGCTCTTTTCATCAAACTTTACTTTATCTCACTGAAAATACATTTTTATATAATTACGAGAAGAGAAAGGATAATTTAGTTATTCGGGTGTTAATAAAAAGAAATCGTATCAAAAAAAAAAAAAAAAAGAAAGAAACTACTCTAGGGAATCTCATTCCATTTTGCGGATTTTTCTTTCAACCAAACGTTTGTCCACCTCGCGGAAGCGCGATCATCTCGACGAAAAGATACCTCGAGAGGAATTTCTCCGAACAATACCGAGGCGACAATGGAGGGGAAAGAAATGGGTTGGTAAAAGGATGATATAGAAGCGGCGAATAAGTCGAGCAGGCAGGAAGTCACGAGGTAGAAAGGCAAGCGGCGCAAAATCGTCCTTTTTTTTCCCCCTTCCTTTTCTTTTTTTTTCTTTTTTTTTTTTTCTTTTTCGGAGATGAAATTAACTGAATTGGCCGCGCACGAGCGGGCCCTTATGACGTTCAAGGCAAAACGAAACCGCGAAATGAAACCGGATGCCACGGGAATCGCCTCGAGAGGAAACGTTTAGAGAGCGTTTGGGGAGTGGGGATATTCTCATCCCCAATATAAAATGCAAATAATACGGTTATTATTATTTTGTTCACCGATGAAAGTTCACTTTAATGATGGAATCACTTTTTTTTCTTTTTCTTCCTCGCTTCTTTAACGACGAGGAAATAGGCAACAGAGATGCTGGCCCAGCTAATTGACACGAGAGACGTGATATCATCATTGACATTATCGTTGGATACTGATTATTATTAGAAACGTATGATGTGAAATTCCTTCCAACAATTCTCTTAAACATTATTTTTCGACCAAATTTTAACTCAATAACTGAAATATCTTATATCTATTGTAAGGATGGATCTAGGAGCGACAAGTCTCTTCTTCTTTTTCTTTTCTTTCTTCCTTCTCGTTCTCGTAACAAAACCGATGTTTTATCTAAACAACGATGTTTGATCAAAATAATTATATATACATTATATTATATTACAGCGATAAAAATTGAGAATTACGTTTACAAATCGTTGGATAATGAATACTCTCTCAACAGAAATTGCACAGAAACATTTTCATAAACAGAAATATTATTTCCACCAGTATGCGCGCGGAATCGAATCAATTCCATCGAATGAGTCTACCAAGAAATTGTGTTTCTTCGTAAATCTTTTCTGCCAAGGAACAATCCTCTTCCCTGGTTGCGGAAGAAGGGGGAAGAAAGGAGGGCCTTGAATGCGTGGAATAAAACTGTGAAAAGAGAACGTTCGACTCAAAGAGTCGTGGTCGATCGATAACTTTTATTCCATTTTCGTACAAAACGGATCTGACTCAAGAAAGATCCAGATGTAAAAATGAGGAAACGAAGGATGAAGCTGGCTGTGCGTGAAAAGTAAAAGTTATTATTCTTCATCCTCACGATATTTTTTTCTCGTGACTTTTTCAATTCCCGAAGGGATGTTCGATTTTGCATAATCACACAGTGTAGACATTGCTTTTTTAAACGGTTTATACCAGGCCAGGCTCCATGTTGCCACCTGGCGTCGTACAACCACTCTCTCTGATACTCTCAACACGATGCAAATTCGATCAGTTTCCTTTTTTCTTTTCCCCCTCCTCTTCTTCTCCAACTTCTTCCTTCGAATGAAATTTAGAAAATTTAGGGGGGAACCTGCTGCCCTGACTCTTATGAATTTTTCATCGAACAGCGCCGCCACAGTTCCACAAGATTAATTCGATATTCGAATAAATTATGCTTCCGGATATTGGCTCCATCGCTCGATTTCGAGAAACTTCACCAGGCCAGGATCTGTTCACCTGTCAAATTTGACAAGTTTGTGTGTGCAGGTTATTCGTATCGCTTCGATCAAATTGATTACCTTTCTGGATTCACAATATTCGAGAAAGCTTTTCCTATACAGTGTGTCCGGTTTATCGTGACTCGTTAAAATATGATACGAAAAAAAAAAAAAAAAAAAGTAAATTATCATTCGAATACAAAGAGATACAAAGTTTAATTCGAACATGAACAAAACTTATCGGATAATTTCTCTTATCGTTCACATTTTTCGCGGACACACTGTATATATATATATGGATAAAAATCGATCGATCCTCCTTTTTCGCGGTTTAATAAAATAAAATTCCGGAACTTCACCACCCCGGATGCATTCACAGGTCGATCGTAAATAGGTCCGCTCGAGCAAGGATAATTTCTATTCGACACCGCCGCTGTTATTTTCCGTGTCGAAAATTCCGCGGAACGTTAAGAAGGAGGAGCAGCAGCCCGCCACTCTTCGGTACAAACCGAGGCAGATTAAATTTCCATTGCAAATTTCATTCGATATGGTTCTTCGGTTACGTGACGATTCGCCTTCCCTCCTTCGACTTGTCTTTCATTTATGCAACGAAACCGCGTTGTCAAACGTTCAAACGATAATATCTTCGTTAAACTGCTTATCGATTCGTGAAGGATAACGGGGTTGTACAACAATTTTATTCATTGTATTCTTGGAAGAAAAATTCCTTTTTTTGATAGAGTTTCCTTCTCGTGGTTCAGTTGTTTAAATTGTGGTTTTAAGTATTTCGATGTGTTTAGAATGTTAAATGTAATTCCATGTGTCTGAAAAGTAGCGAGATTGAAAATTATATATATATATATATAGAAAAGTTCTTTAAAGTCTTCTTTTGAGAAACTGTACATTGGTGGTGATATTGTTCCCAGTGACAGTGCTTAAATGGTTCTAGTTGAAACTGCTTTTAGTTGGTCGCTCACAATCTTCTGCGCGTTGCCCATTGTACGTCTCTTAAGATGGCTTTTGATTTGTGAGAACGGATAAAAGTCACATTGATATAAAGGAGAGTATGAAACCATATTTCACGAAATTTAATTAATGAAATTCAATGTTCTTTATAATTTGTTTCGTACAACGTTGTGTTATTCTCTAATTAAATTGAAACGAATATTATTAGTCACATTTTTCTAATTATTGAAATACGAGGAAAAATCTCTTTAGAGGAGATTTTTTTTTTTGAAAAAGTTAAATCGCGCTTGAAAATAATTCATTTCCGAACAACACATTTACGATGTTATAATTCTCTTGTCGTTGCATGTAAATATCAACACTGTACAATAATTAATTTGCGCATTGAGAGGTAAAGCAACAGAACTGAATTATGATGAAGACGTTGCTACACAAAGGTC